TTTCATTAATTATAGTTGGGAGGATATGAAACTTTAAAAATGATTGAAAAATTCCCCTAGCTAATAAATATTTGAGAATAAGAATGAGGATGTAGCTACTCAACCAGGACATCAAAAAGTATAGCAGGACTAGAGTAACTAAAATTATAACTTTACTTCTGGGAATGTTTTATACAACAGAGATGAAATTTCAAACCAAATAATGTTGAAAAACTTGTCGAAATATTTGGTGAATAAATTAGAGTGCTCCCTTACAGTATACATCATAATATATTCTTAAAAAGTTAAAAATTTAAGTGTAAAGAGTAAAATCACAAAAATACTGAAATATATATGTCTGTGTGTATATATATATATATATATATATATATATTATATATATATATATATATATATATATATATGACAAAGTTTAATATTTTTGTAACTTGGAGATAGAGCAGGTCTTCTTTTAGTAGGAATACCAAATTTGGTAACCATACAGAAAAATGTTTATAGACCCCAGTATATAGATTTTTCTGAACTTCTGTATGGCAGTCACACAACGTCATTGTAAGTTAAAGATACATGATCAGCTCGAAAATGATTTGCCACAGATAACAGATAAAAGATTTAAATTCTTATGCTGTAAGGAGTGACAAAAAACTAATAAATAAAAAACAAAACTGATGAAAAATGGGTAGAGGACATAAGCTAAAAATGCATAAAAGAGTAAATACAAATAGCTCACACATGAAAGATGCTCAACCCCACCATTAGTCAAAGAAATGCATACAAAAACAGTATTATCTTTTAACTGTTACAGTGGGAAGAGATTTTGAAAGGCTTTACATTAACCAGTATGAAAGGGAATGGGAGAAATAGGTACATTTAAAACACTTTTTATAAGGTGCATATTCTTCAACCAGTAATTCAACTTTAAGGCAGTTGTGCGAAGAGATAGACAAATATATACTAAGGGTGTCCATTTAATAGAGGGAAATTGGCAAAAACCAATTATCTATCAAAGGAAGTTGTTTAAATTATAGCACATTTTTCATACTTCAATATTACATAGTCATTAAAAAGATGAGTTATACATTGGCATAAAAGATGAACAGAATACTTTAAGAGAAAACACATTAGTATGTATAATGTAGTCCCAGTTTTAGAAAATAAAAAAGGTATTACAGCCAACAAATGCATTTATTTTCCCAGTGGATTGGAAGAAAAGATCATCAGCTAAGCAGGAGGTTTGGGACAGGGAACTGGAGGGGCATGAAGAGGTATATTGCTAATGCACAGATGAAATCGTGTATGACATCTGAATTATCAGGTATACTTGCAAGATTCCTGAGCTCCATCCCTGATCTACCAAATCATAGTCTGTGAAGTTAGGCTATCCTAATGCACCCTGAAGTCTGGAACCTTTGAAATGAAAGGTTAACTAAGGATATGGGGCCATTGCTGATGCTAGATTACAATTATGTTTAGGGTCAATCAATGCATTTATATAATTTTTTTCCAGCATTATTCAACAGTGTGGGAAGAGAGCATTTGAGAAAAATCGATGACTGGATATACTTGGAGTTGGAGCTTGGCATTGTAGGTGTAGAAGAAAGTCAATGGGTCAGTGGAACCAGACATGCTGGTAGGTGCATCATTAACCTGGGTGATTGTGAGGTAAGAACTGGGTGGAGAGGGAGGAGTTGAGGGGCTGGAATTTATAAGGAGGATTCGAAGCAGATTTGTGAAATCAGACAGTGGATGAAATGTGAGAACTGGAAGTTTTAGTCAGTGAGATGTGTCTTGGCATGAAAGATTTTGAGAAAGGAGATGGTGACAGAGTCCCAACAGTGGCCATCAAAAGGACTTCTGAACTAGAACAGGGATAAAGTTGGCTGAAGTAGAAGTGGTTGGGGAAGTGAGGTCAGAATGCGAGATAGTTATCCTTACGAACACCAGACTTGTTAAACCCCACGATGGAGGAAAAAATGGTTACTCAAGGCAAAAGCAGATAGAAAAGAGAATGCTGAGGTCAGGGAGGGACAGAGCCAGGGAGAAATGAAAGAGCTGGGTGGGTTAGCTCCAGAGACTCAGCATGGCACTGTATCTAGGTAAGCACAATTTTAGAACTGGTGGTGACAGGGTGAATCAATATGTTTGCAATGCACAGTGACCTCTAGGATGTCCATGTGGTGACAGCTGGAATTTTGGTTCAATACTTTGCACATGCTTCTATTTACTACATGATGTCTTCACTTGGAGGTCATAATTCCTTAGAAGCAGAGATCTATCTTCCTTATTTTTGAATCTCTACTGCTTAATGCTGTGCCTGACATACAGGAAATACTCAATAAAAGATTTTTCTGGATGAATAAATGAAAAAAACTAAGCAGCTCTGTATTTCTGATAGGAGCTTTGGTGTGAGGGTGCTTTGCACAGGGGAGGGGGAGCAAGTTAGGTTTGACAATGAACTCACGGTGAAGGAGGTGAAAAGTGTAACTGTCCTCTGAAAGTAGAGTGAAAAAATTATAAAGATTTCATTCTCCTCCACCTAGGCCTGAAATGATCAGTATCACAAGCTCAGCCTCTGCTTTCTTCAAATTTTCTTTTAGATAACCTCATCTTTTTAAAAATTTAATTTAATTTAATTTTAGGTAACCTCATCTTTGTTTGCAGCTTCTGTTATCACCACACAGACCTTTCTCCTAATACAGACCCATATCGTTTCCTACTTGACACAGTCTCTCAGAGGCACCAGAGAACCCCTCAGCCTGCACAAGTAGAATTCATGACCTTCCCTGGAGTTCCTGGTCCTCTCCTGGGGTTTAACACCTCCTTCCCCAACAAGCCAAGAATACAGCCATCAGACGTGACTTTCTTTTCCTTATCCTTCATAGCCAATCCAGCAAGTCCTTCCAATTTGAAGATATAAAGAACTCTTGAATCCTTCCATTTCTCTCCATTGTCAAAGCCACAACCTAGTCCTGGAATTCTGTATTTACCCCCCCGCCCCTCCGCCGCAATGAGTCTACTTATGCTCACTTTAGGCCCCCTTCAGTCCCCTCTCCACCTCACAGCTAGGACGATCGATTCAAAACTCAAATCTGGTGATGCCCTGTTAAAGTTAAAACACTTTAGTGACCTATTATTACTCTTAACCCTAAACATGATTTACAAAGCTCAGTATAGTCTGGCTTCTGCCCATGGCTCCAGCTTCATTTTGCACTGCGCTCCTGTGCTGTCTCTGGAAGCCAGTCACAGCAGGTTTCTTTCATCCATGGATAGACACCATACTGTTCCCATCCCCACCCTCCACCCCAGGACCTTCTTCACTTCATGTAGTTAACCTCTACACTTTCTTCTGATCTCAGCTCAGACACGACTTCCCAGGAGAAGCCACCAGGGATCTCTGGCAAGATGAAATCCCCTCTTACATTTACTCATAGAAATATGTCCTCCATCTTCATAGCATATATCTCTGCTGTGATTCCATATTTCTGTGTGCATGATTATTTCACTCGTGTCTGTCTGTCACGAGACTCTAAGCTCTGTAAGGGGCAAGAGCCCCAGGTGATTTGCTAAGTGCAGTGCTTGGCACATAATGAGTATGCCATAAATACTTGTAAGGTGAGTGAACAGAGAGACCAAAGAACACACTTGTGTGGCATTAGGTGTAGTCACAACAATGAAGTCCTGTTCCTCTGGTCCATCCACTGGGACTTGGGGTAGTGTGGTCCTAAATGACTCTCCTAGACAGTGGTATCCACGAGGTCTTAACCAGGAGTTAGAGTCAGAATGCTGCATTCTTATCTTGGCTCTGCAATGGAGTGTCCTCAGGCAAGTTATAATCTCTTTAGGCCTAAACTCTGGGTTTCACCCACAGATTAGGTGTGTCTTCTGCCCTTGAACTCTTCTCCAGACCCCTCCTTCTCTTCCAGCCTGCCTCCTCAGCTGGGACTGACTGTGGGCCTCCTGCAAAGATAAGGGAGGGCCTGAAAGAGAGCCAGCTTTCCTGTGGGAGGGCTGGGAGGAAGCACACAGTGTGAGCACTGATTCCGTGGGATTGCCTTGGTATTCCGAAGCAACTGCTGGATTCTATTTCTTCCGACAAAACTAGTTTCGAAAAACAATTGAAGGCTTGAATATCTGACATGACAAGAAGCTAGTCCTGGACACGGTTTGTTGCCTGCAAGGATGTTAATTCATCAAACTTAAAAGATATAACCTAGAAGCCTTGTTCAGATATATTTACCCCCTTTCTTGTTTAATTGGGGTGGCCTGTACTCAGATTAATCTCTTTCTGCTTCAGCGATCTCCAAGCAGTATAGACTTTCAAGCTGTTATTGTTTATTTGCAATTCATTTTGCCTAAATATTTCATGGTAAATGAAGGAGAGTAACCTGGTTTTCAAACTGCAGTGCTTCTTAAGTTAGCTTATTGATCATTCTGGTTCTGGATCCCAAACTATCCTTAGTAGATGAAGTATGGCTACAGTAACTGAGGAGGAGATCCCATCCTGTCCTACAGACTTGCCATGTGAAACTTGCAGTGGTCTCTCCGTGAGTTAATTTCTTCATCTCTAGAGCAAATGCAGTGATTCTTAACACCCTCAGGGAGGTGTCATTAAATTAGTGAAATGTTATCGGAAGAAAACAAGAGTGACTAATCTTGCAGAACAACATTTCTATATTTTCTTCATATTTTCCAATTTGCAAGAAATCTCCTTCAGAAAAGAGTGCTTACACTGGATATATATATATATATATATATACCTGATTTGACAATTCCAAGCAACACCACAACCACCCACTTCCGAATAGGGGAAAAAAAATCAGAAGCTTGCAATTGTGCAACATGTAAATCTCTTCTGGCCTGGAGCCCATCGCTGTGGTTTGGCAACACAACCAACACATCTCTTTTCTCATCTCTTGAAAAAAAAAAACTCAACAGAGGGAAAAAATACCTTGAGAATAAAGGTAATGATTAATCCATCGGGCACAAAAAGAACTGTTTTTGGGATTTCAGGTTCTAGCTCACCGTTTCAAATAAACAGCAGTGAACAGGGAATGACAATTTCACCAAAAGAGGATTAAGCCACAGGCTCTAATTGGGGCAGGATTTGAATGGCCGGAGAATCTCGCTAGGCATCTCTAGGAATCTGCGAGCAGCTGTCAAAACTTCCATTTCATGTGTCAGTGAAGTAGGAACCAGAAGAAGCAGGTATTAGTGAAAAGAGTGGTCCTTGGAGAAGCCCCAGGATGCAGTCTGAGACAAGACAAAGGAAGAAAAGCTGGAAGCAGAGACTGGTTTTGAAGAACAGCTTAGCAAAAGAAACGCTCTCCGAGCTCTTGGGCACATTTATAATGATTGTAAGTATTTTCTGATTTCCTGAATTCTGACCCAACAATGCCTTGTTTGTAACCTTGTTGGTGGTAAAGGGTTTTGTCTTGGTTCCTTTTCTTTAAGTTCATCATCGGACTCATCTCTTCCAGGAAACAGCAAGTTACTTCCAGATTGTTTGGCTACTCAGTGGCCAAAACTTTAGGTTTCCATGTACTCACTTCATTTATCTACCAAAGTGGATGGGAGTGGAAGAGGGGGCATGAAGCATTTTCTTCATTTCAGAGTTTACTCAGGCTATAAGATGACTGTATGAGTTTTCTCTCGTTGGTTCATTGATTGATCTCCTGCTTGTTTCCCACAGACATTGAGGTGGTTCAGTCACTTGAAGTATTGACAGTCCAGAAATATGGATGCCGAGAAACAGCTTATTATCACAATTGCTTGGCAAAGATTGTGTTGTCAGATCACTTGATTTTTACTAAATTAGAAATTGTACTAATTTATTAGGTAGAAATAGTGTACTGTGCAAAGGTCCAGTTTTATATCATTTTTTTCTATTTAACTCAAGCTAATCTCTGAAGAGTTTTAATTAGACAGTTACAAAAACCTTCCAGAGATAAAGGAAGGATGGATTCTAAGAACCTCTCGAGGATTTTGTCCAGAGATTTGTGCAGCTATTAACAAAAGACTGGAAAGTTTGCTTACGTGGCATGGGGTCTAAGCTTTCATCCTATTGCATATTCCAGCATTCTCTGGATCCTGAAGTTTTAGCTGGAGTCAAACAATTTGTGAGCAGAAAATTAAACGTGTAATCATTTTCATGGGAAGCAACTACTGCTTTTAACCAGCTTTAAACAAGTAACAACAAAAACCTGCTCAAAAATTCCCCACTCCATGTTCGAATAATTCCATTCTTCTTAAGATTACCCATAAACTTTGTACATTAAAAGTGCTTTGGTAATGTGCAGCATGGTGACTATAGTTAGTAATACTGTAATGCACACTTGAAAACTGCTAACAGAGTATATCTTAAAAGTTCTCATTACACCAAAAAAGGTGTAACTGTGTATGGTGATGGATATTAACCAGACTTATTCTGGTGTTCCTTTCACTATATAAACAAATATTGAATCATTGTTAATTCTAATTATACCTCAATTTAAAAACAAAAAAGGTCTTTGCTTTGAGTGAATACGTAATAATTTAGGAGAATAAGCCAAGACTGAGAAGTGAACGTGAACTAAAAAAATGGAACTAGTGTAAAAAGAGAGAGCGTAGTAAATTTTCTAGTCTCTGAAGGCTTCTTTTTACCTGATTCATCCAAGTATTTTCAACTGTTATGGATAACTTCTCACGTTCTCTCTTGACTATCCTCACTGCTCACCTATGTGACTTAGGCAGGGGCAGGGCAGGGGGTGGGGAAGGGCGTTGGGAGGAAAAGAGAGAGAAACATCCAAGATTCTTCTGATTCTAGTCACTGCTTACTGGAAAATTGCCCTCAGGGAGACAGAAACCCTGGAGTTATGTTGACAATTTGGTGCCCAAGGGGAAAATGGTTATTACCACAGCCTCACTTCATCTTCATGGTGACCTGTGGTACAGACAAGTCAAGCCAATTCAGTTACAGTTCTGAGTGCTCTGCGATAATATAGAGGAAGTGAACTAAACATCTATGTATTTTGTAACCCCCCCAAATTAAAACCCTTTTTATTTCTTAACAAGGACCTATTTCATAATCCCATCCTGTCTGAGTTGAGTAAATGAAAGCAGCTTTTAGCCATTCACTATTCTACTCATGCAAAGAATAATGTGCCTTCCATTACTATTCAAAGCAGGACCTAAAGAAATACTATATGTTGAAAAATTAAGCTTTGTATCTTTTCTGGCTAAAGCCAATTATTTCCTGAAAGGTTTGATTTCTGTCTACACGTATATTTTCTAAAGCAAACCCTGATGAAATCTTTAATTGTGACTTTCATCTTCAATTTTGTTGAGGCTTGTGGGGATGTGTAAACGAGAAATTTCTGCAAAAACACAAATTTTTAACTAATAAGTTTACATGGTTTTGCTCAAAGATTATCCAAAGTAATTGTTTCTGCTTTATTAGAAAATGTGCATTTTGCCTTGCTTTCTCTAGTAAAAAGCTTTGCACGTTGATAAGGCATGGAGCAAAGGGAGCACTAAAAAGCTGGCAGAAGATGTGCAGGACTCACAGGTCCTTCAAATTTGTGAGGCTGGCTTCCCCCAGACACTGGGAGTCTGATGCTGGTTCCCCTGCTCCTCTCAAAAACTGCTCTTAATTAAGGGAAGCGTCTCAACCTCATTTCACTGCGGTGTAAATGACTGATAAGGGCTACAGGTAAGCATTAAGGGAAGAGAAGGTCCATAAAATTTTTTTGTAGACTAAGACTAAACACACCAATAATTAAATCCTAAGCTAAAGAGCTCGCTCCAAGTTGGCCTTTTAGACATAGGGATAGGCAGGCCTTTTTGCCTTTGCTAGTGCCAGGGAGAAGGCTTGCAATGCGTCTTCCCCATCACAGAGAAGAGGTTTAGAAGCGTTGAGTTGCCGAGGTAGGGGGTGTGTATGAAGTACCACCCATTTGTTAGCTTCTTTACGTATATTTGTTTAATCCTTACAGTGGCTGCGTTAGGAAGGCTTTATTATCACTCATAAACAGTTGGAGAAGTGAGGGCTCAAAGAGATGAAGTGACTGGCCAAAACCAGAAAAGCAGTGGACTGGGATTCCTTCTAGTCCTAGAGCCTACGCTTTCCACATACTTCTCACCCATTGCTGGAATTCCTTTGGCCAGTCCTTGATAGACAGTAAATCAGACTTTGCTTTAACATTTCCACAGACGAGAGCCCCAAGTTATCTCTGATTCACTTGTGGGCATGTGAATCTAATCGGTGAGCATCTGATGAGACCAAACATCAGTTGTGTCTCTAAGCAGAAAAGACTGCTCACCTCACGGGGACATGTGTGCGGTGAAAGCAGAGAACAGGAGATTTCTCAGCCCTCTGCGTGTGGGCCCATGGTGTCTGGGTTTCAAAGTGCACATTGAATATACACTCCTTGTGAAATTCCTGACACAGGAGGCTCATTATATGCTGGCTCCCTCACCCCTCGATCCTTCCCCTCTTTTACCTGAGAGTACTTGAAAACAGCTGCTTTGTTCCCTCCTGGGCATTGTGCCCACGCCTTTCCCTGGCATCGCCTACCGAACTCTGTCCCTACATAAATGGGACCCCATTGATGTGTGTTGAATTAATAATTCCTTTTTTAGGCTGAACTTCTCAAGATCTCTTGTCATTTCTCTCAGGAGCTGTGTTCACGCCTCACCATTCCGTGTACCCTCTTTGCTTTCCAAACATTTCGGGATTCTTTCATACAGAGCTCATACTCTTGAAGACGCTGAGGTAAACAGCCCAGCAAGCAACCATATTTCCTCTTGTGGTGGAAGGGCATCCTTCCTGGCTGGACTTTTGAGTGGATAGCATCTACTTGTGTATTGAGAAAGACCTTACATTCTTAAGCTTGTACATTAGACACCTACCTTTTGGCATATCTAAGAATGAAATAATGCAGATAATTTTGCTAAAAGTAATAACTTTTATCTGTGCCCTGAAGGGAAATAGAAAGGGCAGAGCCCTGGGACACAGGATATGGAGGTCAGAGGGGAGTGTGCAGTGTAAGAGGGAGGGAGGAGGCGGGATGGGCAGAGAAATTTCAGACCCCACAGTGTTTCCCATTTCTGATCTGCCTTCCTCCATGACTTCGTGACCAAACTTCTCTCCTTGCCAGAGTCACCAAGTTCACGTCCTCTGTTCTGGGCGGGTTCTCAGATATGCTGGCTATAGAAGTTGCAGGGCTTTTAAATGATTATTACAAAGTGTGCTCAGATCTTGGAATAGGTCTGTTCCATCTTAGGGAGCTTTTGAAATAAAAGAATATATGGTCAGCATTTAGAGTGAAATAGGAAAGTTCTTAAAATTAGCCAGTTCTTAAAATAAGTCTGCTTTGCAGGGTGTCATTCAGGACATTCTGGTCCACTACATTATTTAGAATTCCCAGGGACTCACAGGACAGCGATGAGGTAGGAGTGAGGCTGATGCAGTCACTTGCCCTCGGAATCAGCGTGGAGCCCAGCTGTCCTGCCTTATGCACTGGTCTTGGGTTCCCACTGTGCTTTACCTTTAAGAGGCATACAGTGTTTTTTCATCTGGACTCTTATTTTTATAACTCTTCTTGTGGGGGGGGGAGACAGACAGACAGACAGAAAGGTGATCAACTTCATTTTGCCAGATGGGAAAATAGGTTTACCATAGCTAAGAGGTTCACCCAAGGTCACCCAGCCCATGAATGCATGAGTAAGGCTTGATATCTTAACTCTAGTCATTCCTAATAAACCATTATTTAATGAGAATTAACTCCTTTCATGTGAAAGCCAAAGAGAACTTAAGTAATTTTATAGCCTAAACTACATTAGATAGTAGAGTGTCAGAAGATTATTATATAGAACATTGGAAAAGAATCTGAAAAAATGTGTGTGTGTATATATATATATATATATGTATATGAATAACTGAATTGCTTTGCTGTACACCTCAAACTAATATTGTAGATCAACTACACGTCAATAAAAAGTAAGAATTTTTTAAAAAGATTACTATATCGAACAGACATGATCATGACAAGAAAATTTTATAGACCTATTAGCATGAAGTTTTTGGACCTCTTCACCACCTACAAAGACATCCAAACCTCTTGTAACACCAGGACTCTGAAGGAACTCAGCCATCTCTCCATGGCTTTAGTGAACACATTGCCCATGCACAGCACTGTGTTTCCCCCCAGGACTTCTATTTTCTGGATCCTCCATGAGAGCAAAGGCCCAGAGCAAAGGACCTGCAGGGAAGTGGTCCTCAAGAGGCCCCACAGCTCTTCTCTCTTGCTTTTCTGGCTCGGCAGCCCCCTGTCCTCTGTTTTCTCTCTGCTTGGTTCTTGCTTATGGCTTTGCAAAGTCGCGCCCCACTGCAGGCCTGGGATGTCCAGGACTCAGTGTCCCGTGGAACTAAGAGCTGTCAGTGTGCTGACAGATGACTGACTAGCAGCCTCTGCTGGCCTCCAATGGCTTGTCTGCTGCAGCCAGGAAGGGATCCTCCACCCTCAGGCCCTCACACACTGGCTTTGGAATGAAGTGGTCCCTGTTGTTTGATTCCTGCATCTTTCAGATGAGGAAACAAGAGACCCACTCGCTTGCTCAGAGAATTCTGTCAGATGCTCTTTCTACCACAGCAGAACATCAAACAGAACATCCACGGCCAACTCTACCTGCTTCTTTTATTTACTTATTATTTCTGTCCTGTACTCTGCCTTGCATGGATCTGTACTTCTGCACGTGGGTGTTCTGTCACTTGAAGAATGTCCAAGGTTCTAAATCTGAGATGTGGAAGAGCCAAATACAAGGTCCCACATGGGTTTTTACCCTGTGCCTTCAACAGGGTGTCAAGGGGCTTGAGGTGAGAGAACACAGGTACGTGATGAGGACAAAAGCTGAGTTAACACTCACTTTAATCCTGAAAAAAATCTAACGAGATATGGGGATTGTTCTTATTTTACAGATGAGGAAATTAAGGCTTAGTGCGGTGGAGCTCCTGACCCACAGGGAAATGTGTGGTGAAGCTGGATTAGAATCCATCCTCTCTGGTTTCTCTTCACTCTTGCGCATGCTTTTGAACGTTTACCGCTGCCGCCCGTGACAAGCTACATTAGTTTGCTGTGTTTTGCAAACTCACAAACGTGGCTTCATAGCTTGTATTTCTTCTACAATTTGAGATTTATCTACTTGGGGATGTGTAGGTGTAGGTAATTCATTTTAATTGTTGTGTAGTTGGGCAGGTTTATATATCCATTCCCCTCATGAACTGTTATGCTGTTTGCAGTTTGTCACAGTTATCAATGCTGCTGCTGTGAACATCCTGTACACATCTCCTGGTATATGTGTTCCTGAGTTCCTCTCGAGTACATGCTTGGAAGTGGGTTTGGTGGCCCTAGGATGTGTATCTTCACCTTTGTGTGCTTTGTAACATTGTTCTCCAAAGCGGTTTCAAATTTACACTACCAGCAGCAACATGAGTTCCCATTTTCACACACTCACCAACCCTTGATACTATCCAACTCGTATATTTTGCTCATATGATATACAGGAAATTCACCAGCAATTTTAACGAATTCCTAGTGCAGTTGACCTTTTCATGTTTACCGAACCTTAGGATTGTCTCTTCTGGAAATTGCCTCCTCATAGCCTCTGCATATTTTGGTTTGGTTTTGTTTTTCTGCTTTCTCTTATTGGTTATAGGATGTTGATATTTATTTAAAATCCAGACATTAAAGATATTTTGTGTTTTATAATTATAATTTAATATTTTGCTTTTCATATTTAAGTGTTTAAATTATTAGAATTTATGTTGGAATTTATGTTGGCGTCTGGTTTAAGTGTCTCTTTATCTGGAAGGATAGCCAATCGTTCCAGTACCATTTTTGACCTGTGTGTCCTGTCTCTACTGAGTGTGATGCCATCTCTATT